ATTGATTCAAAAGGGGAAAAATGGCACTTTTCCACCCTGTGGGCTGTCCCCACTGCTGGGCTGAGGTGGAATCAGGGCTTATTCCCATGTCTTGCCTACTCTTCTGCCTTTGCCACAGTTTTTATCTCCTTTTACCATGCCACTTGGTGCTTACCCCGCAGAGTTGTGTATTAGCTCAGCATCCCCGCTCATCTTGGGCCAAGCTGATTGAGTATCTGTTGTTGTTATTGTTGGGAGCCGTCGAGTCGGTGTCAACTCATAGCAACCCTGTAGAACAGAGCAGAATTGCTCCGTAGGGTTTCCCAGGAGTGACTGGTGGATTTGAACTACCGACTTTTTGGTTAGCATCTGAGCTCTTAACCACTGAGCCACCCGAGCTCCAAATATCTGATTAGTATTCTCTAAAGTTTGTAGTAAGTCTTTTCCCTGCCTCCAATACAGGTGAAATGGTGTTGTTTCTTTTGGTGATTGATTTTGGCAAGTATCAGGAAGTCTTCCCCAAAGGAATGTGCTCTTTAACCTGCCATCTTTCCTGAAGGCCATAGTGCTTCTTTATGTCAGTTTCTAAAGGGAAATCTGTGATAAGTTAGTACACCCTCAACACATTTTAACACATTACCCCTTTCCATCTCCCTCCCAGTGTGACAATTGTGTTTATCCAGATAGAAGTGTCTACTTCATTATATTGAACTAATAATAAGTTCAGCTGATAAATTGAAGCAGCATTTTGTAAAATAATTTAAAATGTAGCAAGAAGATTTGTTTAAGAGATCTTGTGAAAGGATTGAAAAATTTAAAGTTATATAGTTATTTTCTGCCTCGTGGTTTCCTGCCCATTAAATTGAGGTCTACTGGCAGGTTTCACAAGCTTAGCTGCGTGTCTCCACAGTGATAGCTGTTAGAACTTTTCTTTCGCAGCAGTTTATCGGGCTTCCCAGAGAGGAAGGGGCACAAAGCAGGCATAAAAAGGTTGAAGACCTGTTAGCTCAGTTTTTTTTCTTCTTTTTAATTTAATTCTATGATTGTAGAAACCCTGGTGGCATAGTGGTTAAGAGCTACAGCTGCTAACCAAAAGGTCAGCAGGTCAGATCCACCACGTGCTCCTTGGAAATCTTATGGGGCAGTTCTACTCTGTCCTGTAGGGTCACTATGAGTCAGAATTGACTCCACGGCAACAGGTTTGGTTTTTTGGTTTTTTTCTATGATTGTGGCCTCTACATTTGACCAGCAGGTGGCAGACAGGAGCCAGAGGGGATACTGCGGCATCTTAAGGGACTGCACTTAAACAGGCCTCCCTGTCCTTTCAGTAGTAAGTCTGGAGGCAAGTGCTTTGTTTCATCATTTCCTCTGCCCTTAGTGAAATATGTAAGAAACTACTTGATAATAGACCTGTAACTTAGCTCTCAGAGTTCATTACTATGTGTGGAATGCCGATGTTTACCAAATTGTTCGCTTATTCCTCAAACCACCAAATATGTGAACATACAGGAGTTTAATTTTTTTTTTTAATGGTTCCCTTCTGGCATAATCAAACTACAAATTTCCAAAGGAGTAAACAACTTATAAATATTATTTAAAAATATTAATCATGTGAGGTGCAGTGGGCAATACAAAGATAAATATGATAAGGTTACTCTCCTTCCAGGACCTTACAGCATGGTTGAGGGTGGGGCTGGGAGAGAACAAGTACACAAATACTTTTATTACAAGATAGAATGGGACAATTGCCTTACTTATATACATACATAGCCGTTGCTGTTGAGTCAATCCCGACTCATAATGACTCTATAGGACATAGTAGAATTGTTCCATAGAGTTTCCAAGGCTGTAATCTTTATGGAAGCAGACTGCCACATCTTTGTCCTGCAGAGCGGCTGGTGAGTTTGAACCGCCTTCCTTTCAGTTAGCAGCCAAGCGCTTAACTGCTGTGCCACCAGGGCTTCTAGAAAATTACCTTAAAAACCTTAAAAACAAACAAACCAAATCCAGTGCCATGTGTCAATTCTGATTCATAGCCATCGTATAGGACAGAGTAGAATTGTCCCATAGGGTTTCCAAGGCTGTAAATCTTTTTGGAAGCAGACTGCTACATCTTTCTCCCGTGGAATGGCTGGTGGGTTTGAACCGCCAGCTGTTCGGTTAGCCAAGCGCTTAACTGCTGCACCACCAGGGCTCCTGTATACATTCAGTACATATAGTTTTGTGTCTTTTTCCCTCCCAGTTATCAGTATAGCATGAACATTTTCCCATGGAGCTAAGATTTTGGTAGGTGAACAGATAACATTTGAGGCAGAGGAAACAACATACATCTTAAATGGAAAATTCAGAGACTTTTTTGTGTGTGTGCTTTAGGTGAAAGTTTACAGCTCAAATTAGTTTCTTATACAAAAATTTATACACTCATTGTTATGTGACCCTAGTTGCTCTCCCTGTAATGTGATAGCACACTCCTCCTTTCCACCCTGGCTTTCGCGTGTCCATTCAACCAGCTCCTGTCCCTTTCTGCCTTCTCATCTTGCCTCTGGACAGGAGCTGCCCATTTAGTCTCGTGTATCTACTTGAGCTGAGAGGCACACTCTTCACGTGTATCATTTTATGTCCCATAGTCCAGTCTAATCTTTGTCTGAAGAGTTGGCTTCGGGAATGGTTTTAGTTCTGGGTTAACAGAGAGTCTGGGGGCCATGTTTTCTGGGGTTCCTCCAGTCTCCGTCAGACCAGTAAGTCTGGTCTTTTTACTAGAATTTGAGTTCTGCACCTCACTTTTCTCCTGCTCCATCAGGGACTCTCAGGGACTATTTTGGGAATAATAATTAAAACCATTAAAGTGGAGTGAACATTGGGAAATGGTCAAAGATGAAGCTGCAGAGGAAGGTTGGGAACAAAGCATGGGTTGCCTCAAACAGATAAAGGAGTTTCTATTCAGGGAATAATATTTTCATAGCTGTTAATTAACGGTTTATTAATGGAGTCCGTGGGTGGCTCAAACGGTTCAAACCCATCTAGAGGTGCCTCAAAAGACAGGCCTGGCGATCTGCTTCCAAAAGGTCACAGCCTTGAAAGCCCTATGGAGCAGTTCTACTCTGGCACACATAGGGTCGCCATGATTCGGGATAGACTCGACAGCAACTGACAACAACAGTTTATTAGGCTAGTTGAGGAGTGCGGCTGAGTGGAACGAGTGTCGACTTTAGAGATGGACAGACCTAGTTTTAAATCTTTGGGCTGTCACATATTAGCAATGAGGCATCAGACAAGTTATTTGACCTTTCTGAGCCTCAGTTTCCTCATCAGTCAAATGAGTGGGTACATGCATTATACGATTCTTGTAAGGATTAAGCAAGACATCAGATGTGAAGCTCCCGGCCCAGAGAAGGCATTCAGTGAACATTAAGCCCTTTCTCTTGGACCTCTCATTTAAGATTCTGTAGCTCTTAACAGTAGCCCAAAGAGTCCAATAAAGAACATCTGAAGGTTCTGTTTGAATGAGAGTCACATAATTTCTAAAAGGCTGTGTAGCTCAGCAGATTTAGCCAAATGACAGATTGGAAATCCAGATCCATAAATTAGTTAATAGGTTTCATTTTTCTTTTTCTTGAATTTAAATTTTGTTTTCATCACGTACATGTTGAAAAAGTTAAATAGTACTTGAGGGCTTGTGTTGTGCACCATCAAGTCGATGCCAACTCATAGTGACCCTATAGGACAGAGTAGAACTGCCCCATGGAGTTTTCCTAGGCTATAGGCTTCATGGCTGTAGTTTTTACAGGAGCAGATCACAGAGCCGCTGGTGGGTTTGAACCACCGACCTTTTGGTTAGCAGCTGAGTGCTTAACCATTATACCACCAGGGCTCCTACTGGAGGGCTTCGAAGGAACATAGCACTCTCTTCCCCCACCTCCTCATCCCAGTCCTATTCCCAGGGGGCCACCACTTTTAATTCTTAGAGCTGTTTTTGTTCCTGGTGTTTCATATTTCTGCATAGTACATTTATAATTTTATTTCTTGGCATATCAATTTTAGGTATTATCTGTTAACTTACTGTTATAGCTAAGGATTTAGGTTTTATATACCTCCTCCACCTCCCTTTCACATTCCCCTGCTATATCATTATTTTTAGACTAGTCAATGAATAGTGCTTATAGTATCATGACTTTATAAATATTGTTCATTTTTTTATTTTTATTTTTTGTCGGGCTTTAGGTGAAAGTTGACAGAGCAAATTAGTTTCCCATTAGACAATTAATACACAAATTGTTTCGTAACATTGGTTGCCAACCCTGTAATGTGTCAGCACTCTCCCCTTCTCCCCCCCAGGTTCCCTGTTTCCATGCGTCCAGTTTTCCTCTTGAAATTGCTATTTTTATACGTCAGAAATTGTCAAATATCAGCAATTTCATAATGGTTCAGCCTGTACCTATCTTAGCAGTTCTGCCACTGACCTCTAAGTAACTCTGCTTCTTTGGGCTGCAGTTTCCTCACCTATACAGGGAGGTCACTTGATGAGTTATTTTACATCCCTTCTGTCCCAGACATTTGATGATTCTAATCAGAGCCAAGACTAGGGTGAGGTAAGAGCAGTGCCGAAGGCACAGAATTTCAGGAGGCTTGTCACCCCATACTCTCATGGTCCTGACAATGAGAACCCCCTTACGTTTTGTACCCCAGGCTTGCTTCCCCCTGTTCCTGGCCCTGATTTGAATTTATTTTACCATTTACATTTAAAGGGTTACTTGCCAATGTGTAATCTTGTCTATATGAATAATGCTTACTGATGCATTAATTTAAGAAGCTATGGTACACGTTATCTAATGATTGACTTATGTGTTTTGCTCTTTACTTACTTTTCATATTTACCATCTCCATGCCTGAGTTAATTCATTACCTCAGTAAGAACTTCTGAATACTAGCTTACGTATATCTACGTTGATCCTGGTGAATTCTTTCTCTTGGCTGCAACAGAAAACCTAGTAACAGTAACGTTTTATGTTGTTCTCCTTTAGATCAGGCCAAAGCGTTTGTGAAGGTTTTTACTGAAATTGACCGAATGCCCCAACTTCTTGCATACTACTATAAGTGTCACAAGGTAAGAAGCTATGAGTGGTTACAATATTGTAATGCTTACAACACTGGACACAGAATTCCAGTTCATACTCAAAGGTAAAAACATTTGCCTCCTCACCCTCTGGCCCTTTTTCTTTGAATTAGCCAGTAGGGGGTGCTCTTGGTCCAGCCTGTGGATTCACTTAATTGCCATCTGGGGAAAAAAGTCATTAGTTTTTCAATCTCTTTTGTATTGAGAGATGGATCTAATTTACAAACTTGAAAAAAAGTTGTTTTAATTTTCCTCATTTTTGCTTTTTGAAGATTTGTGTCTTAAGTTTTATTAAGCCCTCAGCAAGCCATAGGAATTGTATATGTTTTCTAAGGTTGTTGAGGTTAGGTTACTGAAAAACTTAAAAGCTTCATGGGCTAGCCTTAATTCCTTCAAGTCCACTGCTCACGTGTCTTTTAAGCAATAGTGTTAGGACATGAAGCTTAACACACACTCACGCCCTCCCCTAAGGCCTGTTCAGAAGATGGATAGTATGCTGAGTGGAAGGAAGCCCATTGGCATACTCTTGGGACAGGATAAGAGGAGAGAGGATCATGTGGAGGGCAACACCTTCAAGCTTTGGGTGATGGTCAGAGCAAGTAACTGTCAGTGTTTTTTGGGTGTTTTTCTCACCTTTTTCCGAAGTAAGTGGACATCAGTGATTATCACTTGCCTCAGTAGAAGGGCAGGTCCTTTCAGCAGGCATACCTGGTAAGGCCCCCTCTGTTCTTCCCCTGCAGGTACAGCTCTTAGCGGTCTGGCAAGAGTTGTGCCAGAGTGACCTCCCCCTGGACCGGCAACTCACCGGACTCTACGACGCCATGCTTGGTGCTTGGCACGCGCAAATCCAATGGGCTGCGCAGGTAACGGCTCGTTTGACTTCTAGAGAGAACAAAGCCTGTGTGACAAGGGGATGGATGACTGCCTCGGGAATGGTCTCCCTTAACTGCAGAGTACCTCTCCCCAGTTGCCACTGTCACCAAAGGGGTTAAAAGATAAGCTTCGAAACCCACGTCAGTAAAATCATTAGGTCTCCATTAAAACTCTTCTTATCACTCTGATCTATATCTTAAATAGAATCTAATGTGACAGTGTTGCTTGTGGTTCAGCAAGTGAGCCTCTGGAATTCCTGAAAGCCATTATCTTCAGATCTAAAAGCAGGAGGCCCTTAGTCAGGTGATGGTTGAGCCAGCGAGATTGTTTTGGATCTTAACTTCAGGTAAAATTTATCCAGCCTGAAGTTAGTTTCCATTGTTCTCACAGTACACCAAAAGTTAGAGGAAGATTATAATTTTAAAGGTACCCTTTGACTAGGGGAGAGGTGAGACAGGAACTTTGTTTCAGGTGGAAACTTCCCATCACTCACTTGCCCAAAGTCTCTAGGCATTTTTAGCTGTAAAGGGCAAGAACCATTGTTCTCTTGGCTTGATGCCAGGAGGCACAGTAGCTCCTCTTATAGAAGGGAAAAAGGCGTTTTTATTTTGGAGTAATGACTTATTGGGCCTGTTCCTAGTGTGGTTTGTTATTTTTTTTTTTTCACAGTTAGTTGTGAATCACTCTTCAAATGTACATCAGTCATTTGCTGGAATGAACGTGACTGTGGTAGAGAATTCCTTGTTCAGGGTCATGTCATTGTCTCCATCCTTGTTTCTTTCTCCTTGAACCAACCTAAGTCAGACTTGTGTTCAAACAAACAAATGAGAAAGCCCCTGTGGCAGTTTCCCAGTTTTGATGTGATCAGCACTTTCCAAAGACCCTGTCCATCCACGCTCATTAGGTGGCCTCCTCTCTTCTGCTACTTCTTAACAGCGCGAGGATGAAAACAGCTCACGTCCACAAGTACTAATACCCTTCATCATCTAAGAAAATGGACTTAGACTTCTTAAACTGCTATCCTGGTCTCATCTTAAATTTTGTAAGGCATGAGTTTATGCTCATTTATGCCTTTGGCACATGGCCCATTTTCTTTCCAGGATGTAAGCATGACGTGTGGGCTATCATCTCCTAAGCTCAGTACAGTGCAAAAGAAGACCAAAAGTGCCAGGGTAAATGTGTCCCTTTCAGATTTTTTTTTTTTCCAGTATTTTATTATAAACATCTTCCAACATACAGAAAGGTTGAAAGAATTGTATAGTGAACACCCATATACCCACTTTCTGAGTTCTACAATGAACATTTTACTATTTATGCATTTTACAAATCTAGTCCCTGGGTGTCACAAACAGTTAAACACTTGACTGCTAGCTGAAAGGTTGGTGGTTTGAACCCATCCAGAGGCACCTGGGAAGACAGGCCTGCTGATCTGCGTCTGAAAGGTCACAACCTCGAAAGTCCTTATTGAGTAGTTCTACTCTGCAAACATGGGGTCACCAGGAGTCAGAATCGACTCAACAGTAACTAACAACAGCATTCGTTTCTCCATGCCTCTGTGTGATCACTAATCCATCTTATTTTTTTATGCTTTTCAAAGTAAGTTGCAGGCTTCATTCACTTCACAGAGTACATGTTATTCACTCAAGTTCAATCTTCATTTACTTTTTTTTTGGTAAAATTTGCATGCCGTGAAATATTCATAGAAATATTCTATTCGATTCGTGTTGACAAATGTACATGCTGGCATAAGCCAATCCCTTATCAAGACACAGAACGTTACCATCACCCTGGAGAGTTGCCTCACGCTCCTTCCCAGGCAGTCGTTGTCTCCACGTCCCTGAAGGCAACCACTGTTCTGATTTTTTTCCACCATAAATCAGTTTAGCCTGTTACAGAGTTTCATGTAAATGGAACCAGGCAGTGTGTGTTCATTTCACGAGACTTCTTTCGTTCACCCTGTTTTTTTGAAATTTATTCATGTTGTTGTGTGTATCGAGAGTTCCTTTTAATTGCTGAAGACTAGAAGGCAAACAACAACAGCTATGTTGTATGAATATGCCACTGTTTGCTTATTCATTCTCTTGTTGAGGGACACTTGGGCTATTTCCAGTTTTGGGCTATTGTGAATAAAGCAGCTTTGAACCTTTTTGTATAAGTCTTTTTGTGGACACACCTTTTTATATATCTCTTGGGTAAACATCTAGGAGTGGAATTACTGGGTCATAGGGTAGGTGAGGTATATGTTTAATTTTATAAAAAAAAAAAAGTGTCAGACCTTTTTCCAAAGTAGTTGTACATTTTACACTCCCACAACAGTGTGTGAGGGTTCTAATTGCTCCACATCCTTGCCAATATTAGGTGTTGTCAGTCTTTTTAATTTTAGTCATTCGGGTGGGTGTGTATTAGTGTTTCATAGTGGTTTTAATTTGTATTTCTCTGAGGACTAAGGATGTTGAATACTTTTTCATGTGCTTATTGGCCATTTTTATATCTTCCTTTGTGAAATATCTGGTCAAATCTTTTGTCCATTTATAAAATTTGGGTTGTTTGCCTTCTTGTTACTGAGTTGTAGGAGTTCTTTGTATATTCTGCATACAGGTCCTTTGTAAGATATATTTTATAGGTATTTTCTCCTAGTCTGTGGCTTGAGTAGAGGTTTTGATTTTGATGAAGCCTAATTGATCAGTTTTTTTCTTTTATGTTTAATGCATTTTGTGTCCTAAGAAACTGTTGCCTACCTCCAAATTGTAAAGGTATTCTTCCATGTTTCCTTCTAGAAGCTTTGTTTAGCTTTTACATTTAGGTCTGTGGTCCACCTAGAATTAATTTTTACGTATGATATGAGGTAGGGTCAGTTTTTTTTTTTTGTTTGTTTTTTGTTTTTTTTGATTTGTCATAATTTTTTTTACCTTTTTTAAAATTTTTATTGTACTTCAGGTGAATGCTTACAGAACAAATAGTTTCTCATGAAATAGTAGTACACATATTGTTTTATGACATTGGTTAACAACCCCACAACAT